ATAGAACTTGGTATTCATCCCAGACAGAATTATGATTGAATGTATTTGCAAGATTAAAGCACTGAATTTACTTTTTTCTAATTAAAGGCAATTACAGATTTGCAGACACAAATAAAAGACAATGAATTGAGGAATAAGTGTAGGAGCAAGTCCATTTGCAGGTGAAAAGAAGTGCCTTTGAAGCAGAACCAGCTGTATTTTCACTGAAAGAATAACAGTTTAGGAAGCTTTTCTGCATGTGCTTGCTTGATAGCATAATGTACTCATAAGCAGCTTATGCAGTACAGTATTCAGAAAATAGCAGTGCATTAATTTTTAAAGTAGCAAATGCAGGCGAAGAGCAATGCTGCCACATGATGATAATGAAGGTGGATATTGTGAAGTCTGCTGAGAGAAAAGAAAGCAGGGAGCTCCTGAAATGTGAACATTTATAAAACAATAACTAGATATTCATATGATAATAAGCTTGGACAGCAGCATCAACAAAGGCCAAAGAAGCAGTCCTGTTTCTGCTTAAGCCTGATGAATTGAAAAGCAGAGAGACAGTCTTCAGTCTGTTATTCAATTCCAGTAATGAGCTATTGTTAGAATGAAAGAATTCTAGAAATATCTAGAAGGGTTGGAAATATAATGTTTTTTCTTGTGGAGTTATTCTACAAATTTGTTCAAGTTGTATCTTAGACAGCAGCATCGTTAAATACAATCTTAAATGTAGTCAGTTTTCTTAAATGTTGTTCTCAACATGCTGTATTCTCAGTTACATGTATAACGGAGCTCAGTATATATATGCAAAGTACAGTGTAATGCATACTACCTGGCAGTGTCACAGTATTTCTGTAGACTGAAAAAAAATTAACCCAGAACTTAATGAACTTGTCTAGCTCATACGTATTATTGAGTTTAAGTTTTGCATTTATCATTGCGTCACTGGAGGTTTACTTAAAAAAGAATGCTCAATATACAAGATCAGGTAATCTCTAATATGTATTAAAACTATTGAATAGAAGGTATATATGGGATCTCAATTTCCCTTCTAAGCAGAGTTAAATAAAAAAATTCTTGTGAAATCCATAGATTATTATTCCTAGTTACATGAAGAGAAGCAAACAAACTCATGGCGTATATTGTATGAATCCCTAATATTCGCCATGAAGGAGACATCCTTTAGCATGTTTCACAATATAGCTGTGTTTAGTAGCTAAAAACTCTCTGTTTTCACCCTTATCTTCACCCTTTTCTAATCCTACAGCTAGTAGAATAGACTTCATTTCTACCTGTGGGAAGTTTTCCAAGCGGGATCTCTAAATGGGGCACACTCAGTTCCAGTGCTACTGAGGTTACTTTGCCACCAAAGGAGAGGAAAAAAACTGTGCAAGAAATATGGAAGGGAGGGGCGAGGTGCAAGGTGAGCTCTGGAGAGCCTCCAAAGGGCAAAGGGTACTTCAAACACTGAATGGAAAGGTGGATGATCTTTGCATCTGGTCTTGAGAGTACCTGGCAGGAGGCAAGATGAGCAGAGTGGTAATATCTGTTACCCTATCATGGACTATTGAAAAGTTGCCCTATCATGGACTATTTCTTTGGCCTTAAAAATGAAAAGGAAGTGATGGACTTGGAAAAAGAAAAAAGTGGCACATTTAAAAAAACAAAAAAGGAAAGAAATTGAGATAATAAAAAAAAAAGGAAAGCTGGCTTTCGAGTGATGACAATAACAACAATGAAAAGTAGAAGAGGAAAGAACTGTGCTTAAGTAATAAAAAAAGTAAGATTTTGTCTGGAAATTTTCCAATTCTATCTTTTGGCTTCTTCTTGTCTTCATATGTTCCCTCAGGAAAACTCAGTGTCTCAGATAGGCATTGGGTAAAGCAGACAAATGGGGCTTTGTCTGATGAGTCCATCTTAACTGGCTTTGACAATCACTTCCTGGGAAGAAGAAATAGCTTAAGCTGATGACTCTGACAGATAAATGTACAAGAAAGCTTACAGGATAAATGAGATAAAAGTAGAAAACATTGAGAGTGTGAATATAAGTATTCCAACTGGTTGAATTTGCAAACCCAAAAGAGGGGAGGCTGTAGGAAGCCTGTATTATTTATTTCTGCTTATTTTCCAGGTGGCAATGATCAGTATTCACGTGGCAGGGGCTTTGCATTTCATAGTTCTTTATAGTCCTGTAGTGCAGATGTCTTTCCCAAGGCTTCAGAAAGTTCACATGTTTTAGGAGTCTTTTTGTACTGTTGATGAATCTGGTTTTCATTACAAAGAAGTCCACAGATGCCCTTTTTAAACTTTTGCATTTGGTGGACTCAGACCGTTTTCCTTACCACAGTTTGTTTGTTTGTTTGTTTTTTTCTTTTGGCTATCACATTTAGCAGTGTGAGTGGTAAATTAATGGCAGGTGCTTGGATTTGGAGAACTACCAGCATTAAAATAGCCTATTTGTTATATAGGGGGGTTAGTTGGTCATATCAGACTTAATATAAATCTAGAAGTATTCTCTAGATAAGTAGAATCCAATTTTAGTTGTAGCCGTGATACTGGAATAAACAGTAGCCGGGTGCTTGAAACCAAGGGAAAGAGCACCAATAAGCTTTCCCTTTTCAATGAATAGATGTGGTCTTGCCAATAGATGTAGCTCACAGACTGGGTCTCCTGTGCAAATATTTACCCCTGCTTTTGTCACCTTCAGACTTGAGCCTTGGAGAAGAGGAGGGAGAATGGACAATGGTAGGAAGAGGAAGTGGGTTTCACTAGCTGACTTGTTTCCCATTGCTAATGGACCTTACAAAGCTTTCTAATTTTCATTATCTGATGCCATTGTCACTGGAAGGGAAACCTCTGACTGTCCTAGTTCATTTACCCGAGATGGGAGCAAACCTGAATGATGAGAACCGAGACTGAACTTAGCGCTTGTCAGTTATATACTTCTAAATGAATATATTTTTCATGCTTCAAACATCTCAGATTGATAAATTTCTATGGTTTGTTCACAAGTAAGAACAGCTGCACCACTTACAAAAGTTGGCTCCTAACAAACAAACAAAAAAATTCAAGGCTTGGGTATATCTATGCCAAATTTCAGCCTGGAGTGTATTTTTAAGAGTTATAAACTGCCATTTATAATGGAAATTCTGACAGGTCTTTAACTATTTCATAGCAGAAGCATGACTGCAGGACTTCAGGGAGAAGAAACATGTTCTATGTCTGGCTGGCTTCATCTCATGACTTAGCCATTATTGTGGTTTCTGCAATTCTTTCCCTAACTGTTCAAAAAAATGTACTGTACTTCTTATGCATCCTATTATCAGATATCATATATATTCTGAAGAATAATGCTGTCCTGTCCTGCTAATGAGGTGCATTGACTGGATGAATATGTTGGAGCATCAGACATAAATCATCATTCTGTTATCTTTTCTTCACTATGTCCTCTAAGAAAGTTCCTTGGAGATATTCTGCTTTTTTTTTTTCCTAATACACATGGTTTCAGTTATTTTTCCTTTTGTCATTGAGTATTTTTAAGTTATTTCAAGTCTTTTATTAATAATACCTGGCTAAAGGATAATACGGAGACCTTCACCATATATAATCCCTAGGGTTGAGGAGAGATTATACAATGAAAGCAAATTTGTAATGCAAGTTCAGCATCCACAGTATCCTACAGAGAGGATCTCTGTATTGAGCATGAGCAGAGTGATAGGAGGAGTAGACAAAGGCAGAAGTCTGTTTCCATGAATTCTCAGTATATCACTGGAGAAGACCTTTCCTTTCCAATTCATGTTTCAGAATTTCACCACTGCTCTATAAAACCCCAGCTTTGAAGATAACCATAAAATAAGAAGATTGGTTATGAATGTAAGATCACATCTCATTGGGCAAATAGGACACAGGTTTAGAGGAAAGGTTATTTGACTGTAACAGTAATGAAAGCTAATGTACAGATAGGTAAAATTAGTGATTTAAAAGTGGGAAGACATTCTGCTTTAAGCATTGTAGCCCAGCTTTGGAAATAGGCAAAAAGGACAAAAAGGCATGTATGCATTAGGAGGCAAAAAACAGAAAGGACTCTTTTGAAAAGCCAGAGTGGTTGTACTGAAGCTGTACCCCTTTGAGCAGTTTCTTCACTGATTCCTCTTCTTCTCCTTTTCTGACTGTATCTGTACCTTGGCTTCTGTTAAAGAAGCTACAGTTCTTTACAGAAGCTACATAGTAACAGTCCTTTCAAACAGCAGAAATATCCCTGAGAGTTATCAAGTGTTTTATGCTTCATTATTAAGTTGAGATAAATGATTTATACCATTTCTAAATACTTGCATGACCTCCTCTAAACTCAGTTCATATGGACTCACGGTAATCAAGCACTTGGCTGCACTCTGTGGCTGCAAGAGATAGTCCCTCTAACTTCTAAAATGTACATCTAGAAGTTTCTGTATAACATGTTTCTACAAGCAGATGATGTCGGGCAATGGTCTGCACTTACCTGAACTGACCTGCATATCTGTAAGTTCTGATACCTGCAAATAATGTTCCAGTTCAGAATAATGAAACATTTACATTCACGAGAATGGCCTGTATTGCACATTTATGTATGCATTAGAGATGACTAACCAACAAAAATTCTAATGAAAATTTTTGTTTTGATTTAAATCAGAGGGAAAAACATCATGCACCTTTAATCTACTTCTTTGCTGTCTGATTCTTACTGAACAACTTAATAAACATTGTAGTAGTGGGTATCTATCCATATATGTATTTTGATGTCACTCTGGAGTAATAGGTTCTATGCTGATTTGTCGGCTCTTGCTTGTTCCTATCATTGTCTGTTTTAAGGATCATTGTTCTATGGATCAAGTCCCTGTGTTACAGAGTAGCTTCTGTTTAAAGTGATGGACTGTAGGATGTTTTCAAAATGTTGTATCTGACTTTTTAACTGAAATAAATGCTCACATTCTTTATATTCTTTTTGCATTATTTTCATTAAATATGCTTCTCTACTCTAGGAAAACAAGATTATAAGAAAACCAGGCCTATGTTAAGAGCCACAAGATTAAAAGCAGAGGCCAAGAAAACTGCACTAGGCGTAAAGGTAGAGATCTCTTTGATAGCTTAAACCACCTTTGTGTATATGTTGTTTCTTTTCCCCATAGATGTACTGTGTGAATATTGATTTCTGAGAGATATTGTTTATGACACTTCAAAATCTAAGTAAAATGCTAGAATCTAAAATATTTATGATGAATTGCTTTTACTTAACCCTAAAATAAATTGAATAGTTGAAATGCTGAAAGATTTTAAGTAGTCCGTGTCCTTGTTATGATGCATACTTACTTTAAGGTAAATAAAGTATTGTGTGCTTAGAAAATTGATCTTTTTGGGGAGCCCGTCTAAACACAGGACAAGTTATTTAACAATTTCATATAGTTAGACAAATTGCAATAAACATCTTCCTTCTTTCTTTTCATATCCTATACCTAGTAGTAATTTTAAAACTGGGTTTGTTAGGTATTATCAATTCTCAGCATTATTGTCTCAGTCCTGCATCCTTGTGTACTGCCTCTGACTTGGAAAATGAAGGCTTAACTAACTGCAAAACATATGGAAAGGTGCTAAACCTTATTTTGAAAATATCTCTTTTTTCAGGGAGATAGGAAGTATAATAATGAGTGACTGATCATGGCTGTGAGTATGACCAAGGAGGACAATTAGAAATATTTTCTGCTGTTTACTACCCAGTGTGTCATCAAAATGGGATTTATCTGAACACACATTGTTTATTTATGTTGCCTTCAGTATTTTTCCTTCAAACTTATTTTTTTTAATCTAATTGATACACAATTAGCTTAGCAGCAAGGGTAAAACCTGAGTAAAATAAAAAAAAGTGGATCAATTAACTCGGTATTCTAGTGAAAGAAACTTCAGAAATGTTAAAAGGAGAACATTTTCTTGTTTCTGGCAGATGAGAAATCAATTTTTTCAAGTTATAGCTTATAGCAAATGCCAAGGTATTACTACCAAGCTGTAACAGCTGTTGAGCTACCAGATGATGTATTTGGTTGTCTTCCAGAATTTGCTATTATAATCACGAAACAGTGCTTTCTTTTTGCTCCTGATTGCTGGTCTCGATCAAGCATTACCATGCGATGCAGTATGTTTTCACAACATAATCTCCTCAGTTAGTGCTGTGTGTCAGGTTTTAATGAGAAAAAGTAGATTGCCTGTTTTGTTTAAAAGATAGATTATTAACCTTTTGAGTTCCTTTTCCTTCCTTTCTTATTAAATTTTACTTTTCATTTTATTTTCAATGATGTGACCTTTTAAAAGTGATGTTCTACTTGGAGACTTAGTGTACAGCCTAGTTTTGTAAAATGTACAAGTTTTTTTGTGTGTCTTTCACAAGTGAGAAGAATATGAACCTTGATCTTTCAAAACATGTTTCGCTTCCTTATTTTCTGAAGTAATTCTTCCTTAAAAATGAGAGAGAATAGGAAAGCATATTTGTAATAATATATGTAATCAAGAATTCATCATGGCTAGGCTTCGCGAACGAAGATTTGGGAAGGCTCTATCCACATTTGCTGCAGGCACGCTGGTGGCTTATGAGGCCAATACGTGACAGACAAATCCGATTGCAAAAGGCACAGCAGAAAGACTCCTTAGATGGTGTATTCTGCAATACACGGTTCTTTCTGCGTTGCCTTTTTTCCTCGAGGGTGATCCTGCGTGTGTTCTCAAAGGAGACAGCAGCGTTATAGATGGTGTGTCTCCAGGCCTCCCGATTTGATGCCAGAGTAGACCAGTTATGGTGATCAATATGGCCAAGGTTGAGATGTTGTTTCAGGGAGTCCTTGTATCTTTTCTTCGGGGCTCCTCTCATGCGGCAGCCAGTGGCAAGTTCACCGTAAAGCAAGATCTTAGGGAGGCGGTGGTCCTTCATCCTGGAGACATGACCTGCCCAACGCAGCTGTGTTCTCATCAGCATGGCCTCGATACTTGTGATAGCTGCTTGCTCTAGAACAGATGTACTGGTCACATAGTCTGACCAGTGGATGTTTAGGATTGTTCAGAGGCAGCGTTGATGGAAGCGTTCTAAGAGACGCAGGTGGTGGAGGTAGATGACCCATGATTCAGATCCATATAAGAGAGTAGACAGCACTATGGCTCTGTAAACACTGATCTTGGTGCTTTTCTTCAAGTGTTTATTACGCCATACTCTTTTATGGAGTTTTCCAAAAGCACTATATGCCTTTGCTAATCTGTTGTCTATCTCTCCGTCAAGCTTACCATCTGAGGAGATGAGGCTACCGAGGTAATTAAACTGTTGGACTGATTTGAGCTCTGATTGACCAATGGTGATGTGGGGATGATGGGGGACATCCTGAGGTGCAGGCTGATGGAGGACTTCTGTCTTCTTTAAGCTGACCTCCAGACCAAAGAGCTCAGCAGCATCTGCAAAGCAGGATGTTAAACGCTGCAGAGCTGCTTCTGTGTGGGCAACAAGGGCGGCGTAATCAAGAATTAGTGAGTAAAGATATCAAGAGCAGTTTATTTTGTAGAATAGTGTTTCTACATGTTATTGCAGAATACCAGCTAACTTTCAGGTAAGATTGAGTTTTGCCATCAAGGCGCACACATGCTGTCCAGATCATAGGATGTTGTGTTTATGGGGTGCAGGACTCCGCATTTGCTTTTGTTGAATGGTACTTGATGATTCTTCTCTGCCCATCCCTCCAACCTCCCAAGGTCCTCCTGAGGGGCTGCATAGCACTCTGGGCTATTGGACACTCCTTCCAGCTCTGTGTTGTCAATGAAGTTGTTAAGGAAGGATCTGCCCCTTCATCTAAGATATTAGGACACTACTAGTGACAGGCCTCCAATTGGACCCTGTTTACAACCCTCTGGGATCTGCTATTCACCCAGTTCTCAATCTACCTCATTGTCCGCTCACACAGTTCACACTTCCTGAGTTTGCCTGTGAGGATGTTGTGAGAGACAGTGTCAAAAGCCTTGCTGAAGAGGTAGACAATATTCACTGCTCTCCCCTTATCCATCCAGGTAGTTGTTCCTTTATAGAAGGCAATCATATTGTTCAAGCACAATTTCCCTGTGGAGAATCTATGCTGACTGCTTCTGATCATCTTCTTCTCAGTTCTGTGGATAAAGATGGCCTCCAGAATGAGGTGCTTCATCACCTTTCTAGGGGTTCATGGAAGGCTGGCAGGCTAGTAGTTCCCTGGGACCTCCTTCTTGCCCATTTTGAAGACTGGGATGACATTTTCTTTCTTCCACTCCTCAGGCCCCTCTCCTGATCTCCACGACCTTTCAAAGATGATCATGAGCTGACTCACTGTGGTGTCCACCAGCTCTCTGAGAACTCAGGGATGCATCCCCTCAGGTCCCATGGGCTTGTGGATGTCAGTTTTTCCTAGGTGTTCTCTAACCCAAACCTCCTTGACCAAGGGAAAGTCTTGCTTCCAATATTCCTTTAACCTGGTCTCCTGTGTCAGAGATTCCTGAGAGCAGGTCTTGTCAGTGAAAACCAATGCAAAGATGACACTCAGTACTCTGCCTTCTCTGCATCCTCTGTTACCAGCGTCCCCCCTCCACTTAGTAACGGGCCCTCATTATCCTTTGTTTTCTTATTTGAAGAAACTCTTCTTGTTGCCCTTGACATCCTTGGCCAGATTTAATTTCAGGTGGGCCTTGACCTTCCTTGTCTCATTTCTACTTACTTTGACAACCTCTCTATATCCATTCCAAGTGGCCTGACCCTGCTTCCTGTGTGTTTGCTGCTTATGCTTGAGTAATGACAGGAGTTCTTTATTCATTCTCTCACAGATCTCTTGCCGACTTTGCCTCATTCCTCGCTCATTGGGATGCATCATTCTTGAGCCTGGAGGAAGTGCTCCTTAAATATCAGCCTCTCTCTTGGACCCCTCTTCCCTGCAGGGCCTGTTCACATAGGATTCTTCTAGGAAGATCCTTAAAAAGGCTGAAGTTAGCTCTCCTGAAATCCCTGGTTACAGTCTTGCTGCCCTGCTTCCTCCTTGCCTGAGGATACTGAACTCCACAATCCCATCATCACTGCAGCCAAAGCCGCATCCAACAAGATCTTCTCTGTTTCTTGGTATGAGGTCGAGGAGCACACCATTCCTTGTGGGAACCTCCACCACCTGTGACAGGAAGTTGACATCAGTGCTTTCCAGGAGTCTCTTGGACTGTTCGTGCTTCACTGTGTTGCTTCTCCAGCAAATGTCAGGGTAGTTAAAGTCCCCCACAGGAACCAATTCTTGTGATTTTGAGGCTGTTTCAAGCTCCCTATAGAAGGCCTCATCCAATTCCTCCTCCTGATCAGGCAGCCTGTAGCAAATACCCACAACAGCGTCACCCTTACTTAGTCTGCCCTTTAATCCTAACCCATAAGCTCTCTACTTGCTCATCATCCACTCTAAGACAGAGCTCAATACATTCCAAATGTTGTCTCACACAGAGGGCCACTCCACCAGGGCACCTTCCATGTCTGTCTTCCCTGAAAAGCATGTAGCCCATCATGACAACATTCCAGTCATGGGAGCTGTCCCACCATGTCTCCATAATTGCAGTGAGGTCAAAACCCTGTGATTGCACACAGATCTCTAGTTGCTCCTGTTTGTTCCCCCTACTGTGTGTGTTAGTGTACAGACACTTTATGGAAGTATTTGATTGTGTCAATGTCCCAGTGGGGGTGCACAGGGACACCTTATAGTCCTGTCTTGTGGTTATGTCTTTGGCTGCTTGTACTTGCTGAAGGCCTCCCCTCTTAAGCCTCCTTCTGCTACTTGGATGGTCACTATAGATCTCCTTTTCCCATACCTCATCTCTGTCGAGCCTGCTGATGTCCCAATCCCCCTTCAAATTTTGTATAAATCCTCCTGAACGAGCCCTGCTAACTCCTGAGCTAAGATCCTTTTTTCCCCTTTGAGACAGGTGGACCCTGTTTGTTGCCGGTAGGCTCAGTGTCATATAAACAAACCCACAATCAAAACCCCCCAAATTCTGCTGGTAACACCAGTCTCAAAGCCAGGTATTTACCTGCATGATTTTCTGGGG